CAGCACAGGAGGGGAAAACCCTCTATGAAGTGGATTGAGTCAGTGACTGGGGTAATCAGGGTGGAGTGTGTGAGACAGACTGCAGTGGCACAGGACAGAGCAGAGTTTAGGGCTGTTGTACATAGGGACACTAAGTCGCAAATGACTAGAGGGCACCAAAGGCTGTTACCTTGAAAGAATCAGGGTTGTTAAGTAGGACAGAGTGTAAAGATGGGATAAGAAACATTAACATGTGTCAACTTGAATATGGGGGCAAGCTGACCTACAGTGAAGTAAAACAAGTTAACAGGTAGCTTAAAAACACAACTTTGTCAAGATGTAAATTAACCTGGTACCAGAATTTTCTCCTGGAAAACTGGAGTAAAAAACTTGGACCAAGTAGTGAAAAGTCAGCTTCATTAAGAGCTGGGATTTGCATGAAAGAAAAGCACAAAGATGACGTTTTTACACTTAATACTGTGAAGGGTAGAGGGTCAAGCATTATCAGAAATTACGGGCATGGTGCAAGATATTGTCTTTAAATAAGCGTGTTATTTCCAGGATAAATGAACGTGCACTTTCAAAAAGTGTAGAAAAGGTTGTTCACACTTCCCTGCGCAAATTTTTGAAGTATGAGGAGGCTCATGTAAATCGAGGCATTTTTTTCTCGTATGTACGCATGGTTGCCGTCCCAACAGCCATGAACACTTAACATGTTAGAAGTAAATCCTCCTGTCCAATTATGCCAACTCCCATTGCTTTAATGCCAGCAGCCACTGATGCAAGTTTTAGCACAGGCCTTAAATCTAGTAGTCACTTATTCCATCTTGTTAAAAAGTATTGTTCCTTTACAGAATCTAGCATGCCCAAAGCATGTGGAACTGATCCGTCTTTTATTCTATTTTCACAAGTGTAGGAAGCAAACTAAAGAGGACTAGTCAACGGTTGCACTGACCGAAAAGCATATGGTTCCAATCTTCTAAGCACTCCATGGGCAAACTCCTGCCATGGAGTTAAATGCCTCTAAACAAGATCAGCTATGGATTATGATGGTGCAGGATAGTCATGTGCGAGCTTTGGTGGCCTAGGAGTAGGCGCACTGACCACACCTCAGGCAATTCCAACCGAAATTTCCAGTCCAGAGGTGACAATGGGTCATCTCATGGGCTGCTTTTCCAAACACTAGACACATTTAGTACAGTTCAAACAGCAGCATGGGAACTGGGCAATGAATTAGATGTCATCCGTCTATCAACTACTGAGAATGAACAGATGCCTAGACCTGTTGTAAAATCTAATCCCTCAGGAGGTTTAAATATTACAATTTATAGAAATGAGTTAATAAAAATACTTGAACTAATCACAGAATATACAGGGAGTATTCCACCTATTTAAATATTTCTATCAATCATGGCTTGTTTAACAGGTCCCATCAAACTGTACCCAAGTATTAAACATAACCCTAGCTGTCAACATTTCAGGCCCTCCTGCCTTCTATCTATGGGTAGTCAACTGACCTAGAAAATGAAGATTCCCCCACCACCCAAAAAAATCTATCTTAGGATAGTCAGCATCATCTTGTACTGTAGTTTAGTCACTCAAACTGCTGGTGGAT